AAAATTAACTATTGACACCAGAATGTTTGGCTAAGTCTAAAAATCGACATTTTCAGTTCTTCACATCATCAAAATATCACTTTTTGGTGGGTTATAACTAGGAAAAAGCATAAAATAAATGGAGAAAAGTTGAAGATACTCACAATCCGCCGATGGTGATGCAGGCTCCGACTGCAAAAATAGTGCCACCTTGAGCCCCATGGTACATGACCAATCTGCTCCCATAATAAGCCATGAAGGACCAAATTGCAAAAACCACGCCATTACTTCCAATGGCTAATCCTTTAGCCAAACCCTGTTTTAATCCCAATGCAACAGTCCCTTGAAGAGCAGAAGAGTACTCAGCAATTGTTTTTCTTTCTCCAACAAAAGAATAAACTGTCCGAACTGAAGAAATTGCCTGTTCCACTACTGTACTAGCTTTATTGTACTCGTCCCTGGTCTTTCTTGCAATGCTCATAAGAGCCCTTCCGTACATTAAACCTGGGATGATGAGAAGCAAGATGAAGGGAAATCCTACAATGGCTAGCCTCCAAAGCAATATGAATCCCACTATGTAGGATCCAAAGAAAGTTGCTAAGTTCATCACAAAGACTGGAACCTATTTGTTGAATTTGAAAAGAGGTTAGAGTGCAATAGATTAAACATTAATCTTAATTACGACATTATTAATAAGTAAACAAAATTATAATCAAGAATGTATGCACATATTTTGTAGGGATTCATTTTCAATGTATGTTCACTTGTCTATAGGCTCATTCACTACAAGAAATTATTGAATTTATGAAGGATTCCTCCAATATGTAAAGGTTGTAAATAGTATTTATGGTGAATTTGAAGAAAGTACAAGAATGTTCTTGAATTCATTCGACTGGCGAGGGGATAGGTGAATAGTACAATTAATCTATGCTTACTATGTATTATATGCACAACACGAACACCTTATAGTATTGGACATGAAATTTTACTCTTTTCTGTTCTTTGATCATATACAGTTCGCCTTACAAGATATGTGATGTGTGATAAAATTAAACATTAAGGGGATGATTTACCTTTTTCTTTTTGCCTCGTTGATCTTGTCTAATTTGTCATATTAAAGGTGTTGTTATAGAGAAAGAGTCACCAACCTTTTCACTAATGACATCTTGAATGACAAGACTGTCGCTTGAGACACTTGTAATAACCTCGGCAGTGCTGGTAACATGCAAATCAAAATATCCGACATCTTGTCTCATCACTGCTTTTAAATATCTTGTTCTTAATTTTGAAGCTTGCCTCTCTGCTGATCTTGTCCAGCAATACCC